ACAAGGGCAGCCTCCTCTTTACAAAGGCAGATATTAACTGTGTAGTTTGGGATCACTGGTTTCAGTATACATTTCCTACTCAGCTGTCAACCTCTTTTACAACCATCTCATGTTGCTTTTAGTCCAGTATCATTAGCAGAAACAGAGACGGAAGTTTTACCACAGCTGCTCCATGTCTGATATATATACATTTTTTTTTTTTCCTCAAAAGAGACAACAGTGTCTCAGAGCTTCCAACTACTGAGTGTAGTTCAGTCAGCACTAGGAGGACAGAAAAAAAAAAAAAAAAGTACTGTATTTTTCCAATTGTAAATATAAGTAAAATTCAGGTCTTCCCTGTGATTCTSTGAATTGGCGTGGTTCCTTGAGTTCCCATGTATGTAATCGTTAAAATTATAGACTACTCCTCAACTTCGTTAGGTCTTGTTTTCTGCTTGTGCCATGGGGGTTGTAGTTTACTGCACAAAAATAAAATTACTGCATTAGAAAACACAGTCAGTGCTGTCATGTAGAGGAACTGGAAAGTCCCAAAGCCAGTGTGTACAAAAGAGAGCTCAATTACTTTCTTAATCRCATGCGCAGACTCCAGAAAGGACTGCAGGCTTCATCAGCCAGGAAAGAGTCACGGCAGTTTGAACTTTAAATTGCAATTAGCTGAACCTTCAGGCTGGCTGAAATCTTCTCCGAGGAAACCCCCTCTCCGTGTCATGTGCTGCTTCACGTTACTGTCTGCAAGTTCATTCATACGCTGAACTTCTCCTTCTTGTCTTGGGTGGGGTCAGCTCCAGCAGCATGGAAAAAAATCACAGCCAGCTGCTACTGATACTGCTGCTGATGCCTCTGCGAAGAGGCCTGTGATTCGACGGGGAGGAAACAGATAAACACGGAGAGCTGACACAATCTGCTCTGCCAATGGAATTAAGAGCAGCCATGCTGCTCACCGATAACTGCAGTGTCTGTAAGCCTGGCTTTGAAAGGGTTTTCACCTCCTGGGAGCAACAGACACTGTGCTGCAACAGCCAGCRAACTTCTGGCCTAGGCTGCAACATGGCTAGCTGTGAATATCAGTTCTTGATAATCTATGCAAAATGATCCAAACCACAAGATTTATCTCAAAAAAATCCCTTGCAGGCAAAAGCAAAAATAAACAAGTGGGCTGAAGATCTGAGTTTTACTCAGTATCAGCCATGGCATAGTTAGGAGAGAGGTACTGATGACAAATTCCTTAACCTCTGCCTCACTTCCTTCCCTCTGCTAACCTTAAATTGGGAGCTTAAACTAGACTTTTAATCTAATAATTCAATTTAGTGCTGACAAGTGAAATTTGGTTAATGCATGCTCTAGGTTATCAGCTGATGCTAAGCTATTATGAGTTTTGAACTCCATGAATTAGGCTAGTGTGACGTTGTATTATGTTTAAAGCCATCAAGATGGATACAATTGGTTCTGTTTCGTAACTATCATCTTTGTGACACTGCATCCACAGACAATCGTGTGCGTTTAGTCTTGGTCTTAAGAAAAGCAGTTTCAGAAGAGACTTTAGTGGAACACCTTTTCTAGCTCTCTCATTTATGATCCCTTATGATTTCTTAAAAAAAAAAAAAAAAAAGATATGTATGTGAATTGTCTTCTCCTATCTTTACTGTACTTYCCAACATTTATCCATTACTGCCAAAATAGAAATGCAAGAGAGAAGAGAAAGCAAATGGAGAGGCCTTGTTATGGGACCTCTACAATTCCCAAGAACTTTCACATTCTGGGGCTACATTATCATCTCCTCTTCTGACATCATGGTTAAGTAAAAACTACATCTCTTTTTCCCAGCTTCTCTGTAGCGTATTCCACCACCAGTCAACTACATTCAGAACAAAAATTACGCTTTGACCAAAGAAAAAAATAGTTTCCAGAGGTCCTCTACTCCACCTTGTTACTCAGTAGCCCGAACGGCAGTACCCAAGCAGTCCGTTAAAGGTGTTTATCTAATAAAAACAACATCTCTTAGCAACCTATTTCCAAACCTAATTACCGCCACCGTCTAGCTGCTCTCTCTGAACACCATCTCCTTTCCGGTAACAAYATTGCCACATTGCCTTGTTGGCCTTCTGCTTTTTAATCTACCCCTGTCCCACAGGGCTCACCTGTTCTTTTTCCTCCAGCATGTTCATCACGCTCACACATTTTTTTCCCCTCACTTTTCACCTATCTATTGGCCCACTATATTAACCTGACTGCTGCTACCTCTCTTTATTCCTTCTTACACTTGTGGTTGGTATGTATTTGTCTGCTATCATCTCAGATCACTTTATCCTTCTGGCAGCTTCTTGCAGGGGCAGAACTGAGAGTGTGTGTAAATGGTGGTTAAACAACTGCAGCTTCAATGCTGCCTCCCTGTAACAGTCATGGGAGCAGTTCTGGAAGGAGACACACAAAATACAGGGGAACATTTAATTTAACCTTGACTAGAACGACCAGTGGTTTGAAAAGCACTTAATTTAAAAAGCTTTTCTTCACTTCTCGGATGCTGCCTTTCCCCATTAGGCCTCCCTCAGAGGCCTTCCTGTTTGGAAGGCAATGCTGCTGCTCCATGGGGAACACCAGTGACCAAAGAAGCAGGAAACATTTCTCCGGGGACTGTCATCCCCTGTCACGACTTGCTGGCCCTGCCTGGGAGCGCAGTCCAAGTGCAGATACATAACCTGTCCATTCAATGATGACGGCAGTTCAACTGAACTTTAATAAAATCGAGCTGCTTTACAGCTTTGGGAAAACAGCCAAAATACACACTGTGAGGACTATGTGAAAATAAACTAGTACAAAGTGCTTCTTCAAGCTTCTTATTTACAATTTTACAGGACAGATATATAATCTGAAAGGCAGAAAAGTCCCCTCTTCTGTGACTGACTGATAGATATAGTGGCCTTCTTCACAGCTAATACCTTGTGGTGGTCCCATTCTAATTCTCCCTCCTTTTTTTTTAAACTTTCTTTCTTTTTTGTATTTATTTATTTAATTAGTTTTACTGTTTCCTCTAAGTCTTTTTTTAACTACTTCCAGTTTGGGGACCAAAATTCTTAAAGTTGCTTTATGTTAATCAAGGAAAACTTTGGAAGAATATCTTACAAAAATACAATGCCGCGGGGAAAACTGCCATGAAAATACCCATTACGTAAAATGTCAGCATCTGTATTTTCCTAGACTCTGAAATGTGGTCCAGATCCCTTCAGCACCAAAACTTATGTCAGTACTGTGAGTATGCCCCACAGCAGCTTGCTAGAGGAAGGAAGAGACCTTGAAGTCACACTAACAATAAATTGAGGACCTTCTAATTTTGCTAAATTCTATTACAAAAGAATCAAAATTCAGGAACAGACCTGAATTTTGCTCTTCAAGCAACGCATGTTCCAAAAGAAATGGTCAGTGTGCTGCAATGCACAGCAAACTTATTCATTTAAGAAAGAAAAGAAAACCGCCATCAGCCACTCTTTTGAAGTCATTACTGACTACAAAGTTGTGCTGGAATGCACCACATACCAACTAAAATATATTGTAGCTCTAATCTAATACCTTGCTAAGCCATTGAAGTAACTTCCCTGTGGGGCATAAGCTTGACATGTTTTTTGTAGCTGTGTTGAGAACTAGATTACGAGGTTTTCTTTTACGTCTTACTGCAAAAATGTATTATTGCAGAGTAGATCCTGATTTTTTAGGACACTTATTACAACYTAAAAAAAAAGAATAAAGTTAAGCAAGTGGTAAGCGAATAGTTATAAACCTCATGCAGTACACAGATTATGTCAAAGTTTTAAACACACCTCGTATATATTTTATGTGCCTTGCCTACAGTTCCCCCTCCCATTCTCTTTACCCATAGAGCTGCTTTTAGCAAGAGCCTTCGGTCATCACAGAGCCCATTCCGCAGGGAAGCGGCGAGCACAGATGTGCTGCTCCCGACACACCCATTCCCAGCTCCGGACCGGGACCGGCACCAGCACAGAAGCACTTGCTGCTGCGTCCCTTGCCCCTTATACATTTATCATACACGAGTGCAATGCACAGAACCCTTGGGTGACAACAGCAACAAAAAATGCATTCTGGTCGACTCCTGGAACTGCGAGTGGAAAAATAATGTGGAAGGACAATTGTTACCCCGACCACAGAGCGCCTCGAGGCAGCTGCTGCCACAGGCGAGTTTGTTAAAAGCGGCGCCACTTCCCAGCGCTCCGGAGCCTGCTCCGTGTCACACTGCAGGAGCCTGTGGCCGTTCCGGACATAAGGGCTTTATTCCCGCCCCCCACCATTAACGTACTTCATTTTAAATATAAACATTTGAAGTAGATGACTAAACGGCTGAAAGCTCATTGATGAGCAACTGGATCCCGTGGCTGCTTCTGAACAGTTCATTCCAAAGTATTAGCAGTCAACCCTCAGAAAACTTGAGCAAGTCAGAAACAGGCATGCCAGGCATAAAAGCTCTCAAGATTTCAGTCATGGATCACAGCAGTTTTGTTTCTGCTCGGCATGGCTGTAGCCAAGCCTGGTATGTATTAGCTGCTAGTCCAGCCCATGCGAGCCCAAGAACACAGTTACTGTACGCGGGAGCGAGGGGGGAGCCTTTCCCCACCCTCTCTCTTCTCTGCTCTCTCAAACAGAGCCAGGAGAGCAAACTACGCATACAACAGCACTCACATCGTTGAACTGAGCTTTACCAGAGCTATCCTAAATTCCCTAATGCACTTCTGTTYTTAGTTTAAGCTTAGCTTTAATGATGCACAATTCACATTTTATAGATCTAGAATTGCCCTTTACAGRCGATTCACAGCTTTGCTTGATTGTACAGCCAAGGTCGTAGTTCTAACGCATCTCTGGTAACTCTGAACAAATAACAGAACTATACAGAGACAGACACGAGGAAGCTCTTGGCTGTCTGGCTGAATAGCTGCTGCTGGCCAAGGCACAAGCTTATAAGCAATCACAAGAGTTTTAATTCATACAAAACTTACGTGTGTCTGTTAGACAGAGCTTCAGCAAACATAATCCAAAAGTTGCCCAGAAGAACTTGGCCATTTTTGCCTCAGAATTGTTTTTGCAAAACCCAGAGATCCTTGCAAGATGCAGAGAGGAGCGGCGGCGCCTGTTAAGCCGGCAGTCAATGAGCCTGAAGTTTGCTGCACTTTTTATTCTGATTCAAAGGAACTGAAGTAATGACATAACTGGGAGGGGGAAGCTCCATCAAAAGTCACACCCATATTGCAACAAAAGTGACCGAGCGGTGGAAGAAAGGAGGGGGAGGCTGCTCCTCGCGGCGGAGCAGCCACACGCGCGCTTTAAAGAGGCACCGAGCCTCTTCCACTCGCGCCAGCGCCGTATGCAGAGCAGCCTCGCGCGAGTCCCAGCCTCACTCCTTCTGAGCCTTTCTGAGCAGTTCCCACTCYCACATTTGAAGTTCTCCTTGGTATCACAAAAGCAGCAAACAGAAAGCATCACAGGTTCTGAAGCCCGGAAAACCATCTGAGAGTGCCTGAGTGCCTCCCAAAAATATTTTGCTTATTTAATCCTATACATCTATTTCTYGCTTTTTCAGTACAATTTAGGGCAAGGAGAAGTGGTTCTCCGCAATGAACCTTTCTGACATGTCTTTTACCTTCTCCTCTCCCTGCCCCAGCTTGAATCTGGAGGTAGGTACATCAAGGCACATTCAGCCCTYGACTTCCCTGCAAAGGCTGCACCAGGGAAAGCAGTAGCTAATGCCAGTGCCAGCAGGAATACTGGGGAAACTAGGGACTCTGGTCGCATGTATTTACAGTGAGACACAGGAGGAGTTTATTCCCAATTCCCCAAAGGAAGAAGCAGGAGAACATACAGCAGCGTACGTTCAAACAAGCTCCTGAGGGCCACGTGTCCACAGGTTCTGTGTGAGTCTGGAGCTACCAGAAGATGCCACCCGAAATCCCTAGGGAGAACCTAGTGAGACCCTCAAAGCCAGTGCAAGGCAGGGGGAGGCACGCGGGTCGTGTGCCTAYGGGATTTATCATCATCCAGCCTCGCTTCTGAGCCCGGGAATGACGGCAGTGGTTTGCGAGAGGYGGAATTAGGGGTTGGTCAGGGATCACCAAGCGTTTTACACTGCACCTTCAGCAGCCAGCGCGTGGCGATGACTGACAGTCAGTCATGCCCTGCTTCCCGCCTCACTCAGCAGCGTTGGAAGGAAAAGCACTATATCATATTACCATTGTGTCGGTCCTCCCCCTTTAAAGATTTTTTTTGTCATTAATTTTTAATCTCTTTTAACACAAACAAGGGAAAAGTACTGACAGGTTCTCCCAGCCACAAGAACTCCACACAATGGGGATTTCAGGACTTTGGCTTTTCTTTAACTTTTGTCTTAAAGATGGCTGGTTATCCTTTCCTCAGCCAGCCACATTTTTAGCAACAGGTTCCAACAGGCTTTTCCTACAGGTTTGAATATCTGATGGGACAAGGTTAAAGTGAAAATCTTTCCTTAAAACACATGGGATCTTTTTATTAAAAAGCCTAAAAACTTTGACTATACAGAATAAACCTGTTTTATTTGCTGAATATGTTAGTTTTTCATTTTAAAACAAAAGGCTTTAAGAGCAAAGAAAAAATGATCTATATATACAACTTGCTGTTTATAGTACAGCAAAAAAAAATAGTTCAGTGTATTCCTGCACTTTCAGAACATAGCTTTTTTAGGTGTATAAGTATATGAATAAAGCCTAGAGGCTAGATTTTAAAAAGCTGGTGTGCACTTAATACTTATTGTGAGTTTACAAAGCATATCATTTTCTTCAGTTGCTAAAGTACTTTTAAAGTTCACTCCACAGAAGAAACAAAAGAACGGAATATTTAATTAAAACTTAGATAACTGACTATGGGGTTTTTTTTTGATGAACGAACAGAAAATGAGGAACATGAAATCCTGTATTCAGAATTAAATGAAATGAAAATGGAAGTCTGTTTTCTTTGGCATAAGTAAATGGAGGATATCAACCCTTTCAAGGAGGTGGGCAAGTGCTACAGAGGCAAAAGTCTAACTTCGCCAGGAGTGGAAATTCTTATTCACTCTATGGTCTAAAGCTCCCATATTATAGCCCTTAAGGCACCAGATTATGGACGCGTTGTTTTCTCAATACTGGATATTATTTAATATGCATCATGAACATTTCACCACTTTTCTTGGGGGGGGGGGATTCCACACTGGGGTGGAGACTGGTTGGAAAATATTTCTATTGTTCGCTGTCCTAGAAAGCTGTACAGACAGGAGGCATGGTTGGAGGAGGTGCATGGACGGGTTAGTGCTAATGCAAGAGATAGAGGTACACAAGAAAAGTAATGCATCACAGCATGCCACTTTGTGTGATAAGACACAGACCTAAGTAATGAATTATATGTATAGAACATGTAAGTTTGCCCATTTTGTGTGCCTCAGTAGCCAAGGACATACAGTAACATTCCCAACTACCCCCACTTCAAAGAGATGCCTTTAAAAAAAGTAAATAAAAAAAGCTGACACAAAAGTATTTCCTTCTTTCCCACCCAAACATAGAATTTCTTCCCTAAAATATGATGGCCTGAGGTATACAGTAAAACAGATTTAGTGTTGGGACCGTTCCTGATGCCACTTAGAAAATTTAGTCAAAAGATGTGTACAACTGTGGGAGAGGGGTACCATGCTTGTGTGTTTGAAAAGTTACTAACGCTTATTTTAAAGTATAGAAACACATCCTAAAGTGAGTTTTTAGCAAAGAAAATACAACCGAGCCTCATTTTAAGTTGAGTCCATTGGTTCACTCCCATTGTGGATTTGCTTCCATGGTTATCCACACAGGTAGCATAGTTAAATGTTAAAGCTTTGGGAATTTGCTTATGCCCTTGGCAATATCAATTAAATGGATGGCAAAATGATACCAAACTAATAGATGAAACTAAAAGAATCTGATTTTCATAATAGGATGAAATAATACAACTAGAATGTTAAAAAAGCATTATTTTTAGAGTAATTTTTCCATGAATCTTCTGATACAGGACATACAGAATCTATGATGGTGTAATGTTAGCACGGGAGCACCAAAGTATCTCATCTGTGATTTTATCACATATGTGAACTCTAGCCAGCACTAATTAATTTTGATAAAAATCCTACTAGGGAATGCATGTGTTGGAGCCCTAGTAAAGGCTTATATGTGGCTTACAGCAATATAGATATTTTTGCTGGGATTCCCTTAGAGGATGAAATTCCGGACTAGCTGAGTCAAAAGTCAGAATTCTACCAACTTCAGTACTGCAGCATCTGTCTACAACGCATGATTGTGTAGATGTTATTAAATCAAGTGAATGCATCTAAAGTTAGGATAAAAAAGTACATCAATGAAGAATGGTTTCATTATCAAACATAATCAACATTTAAGTGGGGGAAGAGTAGAATTCTGTCTCTATCAAACTGCCTTTTTTTCCCCATCCCCCAAAACCACTACTTGGAAAATACTTTTTTCAGCAGAAATACAAATATTATAATAAAAAAAATCCTTCCGAGAACATCACTTTCTTTTTTTTTTTTTTTTTTTTTTAAAAAAAACAAAGTTGTTTATGTGGAGTTGTAGAACATAATCTCACTGAAAATACAAAGCTAATTTTTCCTTAGGCAATGCTGATAGCCACAGCATCCATTCTGTGTAGACTACAGCTGGCCTGTGAGACTGACTGTGTGACAGTTTCAGGGGAGGATGAAGATTTTATAGGCATAGAATTGCAATCACAATAAGATATGGTATTTTAATCAGATTTTCTCTTGTGTCCCTAGACTACAATCTTGTTTGCTATAGTTCAGACCGGATTTAATTTTCATGATCAAACCTGAAACCAGATTTTGTAATGGAAATGTTCATAAATGCTGCAGTGTAGCAAATCCTGTCCTGCGCACTTTTCGTGGGCTCTAATTGCTGATGGGAAACCATTAAAAGAGCCCGTGCCAGCTAGAGCCAGAAAAGCTGCTCTTCTGGCTGGAGGCAAAGCGCTCCTTGGGAAGTTGGGCACCCGGTTCTTCTCCCATCAACCTTTTGTTCCCAGCCGTAATTTAGAGCCCGTGTCCTGCAGAGAGCTGGGAGGATGCACAATGGCTCCTAGTTGTTTACTTCTGGAAAGGGCAGCAACCCAGACTGGCAACTACCTCACGGATTCCTCAGCCTGTTTTACTGGTTTGCCCCTGATCCCTAAACAACTCGTTAAACTAACACAGTAAAAAAAACCCTTTGCAGCCAGATTTRTTCGAATATGCTGTAAGAAACTCTTTGCTTTCTTATTCCTAGTGAGCAGCCCAAAGCATTTTGTCCCTGGAGGGCCCACGTGCCTTGTGGCTGAGCACCGATAGGAAATTGCCATGCCAGTCATGATTTTCACACCATATATATATATATCCATATATATATATCCACTTATTTTTATTACATCGCTGCCCAGGAAGCCTGCACAGAGCACACAGCAACTGCAACCCAAAAGCCAGGTGACCAAGCACATGGTGCAGACCTATCTAGTCTGAACTAGTGATTAACACTAGTGATGAGTGTTTGCACTAGTGATTAACACTAGTGATGAGTGTTTGCACTAGTGATTAACAGAGAGCAAAGGAGTTGTGTACCAGGCTCAGCATCGGGGGCAGGACAAGGGGAACCAAAGAGAAAAAAAGGGAGATATACTGAAACCACCTACAAAGAAAGTATCTCTCCTCCCTCTTCTCTTCTCCAGCACATACTGTGGTATAAGTACCCAGAAATCTATACATCAGAGCTTGAGCTGCCATCTTTGTGCTWATCTTTCAGTTCTTCTGCTTTCATGACTTTCATTTGCAGTTTACCAATAGGTAAATCAAGTTTATATTGGGCCCTCTTCAACATGTTCTATTTCTCTTCCCTCTCACCCTTCTCTTTCTGTTGTCTTCTTTTTGATTCTACTTCTTGACTTCTTTCACCTCCCTTTCTCTCTCATCTCCCCTCATTTCTTCCTTTATTTAATCTCCTGCATTTTCCTGTCTTCTTCACAGTGTGTTGTAATGAACTTAAACATGTGAAGATGCAGAAGAGTAGGTGAGCATTACAAAATGCAAACACTCACTCCAGCTACTCAGGAAACACTTAGC